GTCAGCATCAAGAGGTAGCAGCATTTTCAAAATATATTTTGCTGTCTTGAACAAAAATCTTAACTATTTATTAGTCAGTAGTTCCATATGGTCTTATACTTTTTGTTGAGTCACAGTCTCCCTCTGTCACCCAGGCTGGAGTGCAGTGGTGTGATTTCCGCTCACTGTAACCTTCACCTCCTGGTTTAAGTAATTCTTGTGCCTCAGCCTGTAGCTGGGACTACAGGCGTGCGTCACCATGCCCAGCTAATCTTTCGTATTTTTGGTAGATATGGGGTTTTGTCATGTTGCCCAGGCTGGTCTAGAACTCCTGACCTCAGGTGATCCGCCCTCCTCAGCCTCCCAAAGTGCTGGGATTACAGGTGTGAGCCACCATACCTGGCCTGGTCTTATTACTTCTATACACATAAGATAGGATCTTTCAATATTTATGTAGGTGAATATTTCCCATGTTTTTTGAGGATTCCCAAAAGACTCTGGGGGTTTCCAAAAAACTATTAGGGGTTGAATCTTTTCACAGTAACACAAAGGGGAAGCATCAATCCGTGAAAGTTCAGACCAGCAGTTTAATAACACCCTCTCCATAGCTCAGTTCCCAGTACATGAAGAGATTCAAAGCAATCTTCTTGCTCTCAGTTCTTAGAAAGAAAAATTTGAGAGAGATAAAAGCAGTAATTATCTGTATTATTTAATAACTTAAATGTAATAACCTAAGAAAAAACAGATGTCAAAAATATATAGTCTAAAAAAAAATAGAAGCCAAATCCTTTCCTCCTAGGATGTCTGAAAAGGATAGATTCTATGGAGTGTGGATGAAGATAAAAAGGATTCCTGCCATGAAAGATGAACTGTGGATTCCTACTATGATTCCTACTATGAAAGATGAACTGTGGACATAGTCACTTGAGACCACTGAGAGCAATTAGCCAATTTCATTGTCACCAGGAGGGCACATACCAGAGAATCTGGGAGAAAGCCTGGGCTAGCGCCGTTAGCATTCTCAGGCCTACTGGTGCTGTGATTCAACAGGTTTTGAGGGGATGAGGAGAACCAGAGATCACCACCATCACTTGTAAAAAGCATACTATAGAAACAGTACAACTGTCAAAAATCAGCTAGAGCTTAGACTGTATGCTGTTTGAAATCTAGCCTGAGTTGCTTTCTTGTGGAGGGATTGAGACATGTGCAGAGATACTTTAAATATGTGCAGGTGGCCCTTCTTTTTAAAGGATATTTCATGAGCTCTTTCTACTCATTAGTTTTCCTAAGAGTTCACCATTTAAGCTAGAAAGATGCTGCAAGCTATCTCAGCTAGCTTCTAATTTGGACATAGCACCAATACTATATACACAATTGAACAAGTTACCATATCTTCCTGATTCTTCTTTGGACTGAATAGGTGTGATCTTGTTAAGAAAAATGTGTAGGCATAGGGCCAGATTTTATCAGTCTCCATCCCAGAAAAATGGTGGCGCATGCCTGGGCTCTTGCATAATTAAATGACAGGCTTTGTCACAACCTTATACTGTCTTATCCTGGCAGCAACTGCTTCGAGTTTACCATTCTCCTGCTGGACTAACGGTTCCCGAGAGATGTCATCAATCTCACGTATGCCAGGTGGATTGAAGCCCAGGTTATATACTCTACTGCAAGGAGGGTGAATCCAACATCGGCTGAGACAATCTAAGTGTTTCGAATGGAATCTTCAAACTGATCACCAAATCCACTTCATAGATTTTGTCTTCAAATCAGGGCTTCGGTTTGTCCTAACATCCTCAGAAAACCATCTGGGAACCAGTGCTGGGCATACCTGTTCTCCAACTCTGACACCATTAGGCATGTGATCACATGGTCTGGAACCGAAAGACCGTTCTCCGTGTATTGTTTTGCCACGTCACTAACTTCGGTGTTGGCCTTGGTGTTCTCCCACAAGAAATGGCCATTGGAGAGATGCTGGAGGCCAAACTTCTGGGCCAAGAGGGGCGGCCAGAGGATGACCATGTGCAGGAGTTTGGAAGTCATTGCCTTTGGGAGGAGTGGCGAGGCCAAAGGTGCAGCCAAGACAACCGGAGGGTGCACGTAGAACTTTGTTTCTTGGCCCCAACCTCTGCCACCCTCTGCTGGCTCTGGTACTGTGGTTACTCTCCTACTCAGGGAAGGAGAGACTTTTAAGACAACCCTTACCCTCAGCCCTGTGCAGGGACCAACTCAGCCCTGTGCCAGTATTTACATTCCATAAAGTCACTGCAAACACTGAGTTAGCAAAGACTGAACCATTGCTTCTAAAGGAAATACAGGGTTAAGTCTGGCTAGTCTCTGGTCACATTTTCGCCAATCAGTACATAAACTTGCTTTATGTGTGTTTCTGATTTGGGGATACTTTATTTAATATATATTGTTGATTCATTAATTTTGAACTCACACCCAACAGCACTGTAACTCACACCTGAACAAAACTTATACAGGGTATTTTCTTTGCAAGGCACATTACAGCCTTCTTGGGCTTAAGGACACTTCAGTAACTTTATGACCAGTCTTGGGGGCCATTTTAAACATTGAAATCATCAATGAAAACCATGTGGAAAACATGACATTAAATGGACCATGACATTTTTTTCTTTTTTTTTTCATTTGGAGACAGGGTCTTACTCAGTCACCCAAGCTGGAGTGCAGTGGCACAATTATAGCTCACTGAAGCCTTGATTTCCCTGGGCTCAAGCCATCCTCCCATCTCAGACTCCCAAGTAGCCAGGACTACAGACCTGTGCAATCACGCCTGGCTAATTTTTGGTTTTTTTGTAGAGATGGGGTTTTGCTATGTTGCCCAGGCTGGTCTCAAACTCCTAAGCTGAAGGGATCCTCCTGCCTTGGCCTCCCAAAGTGCTGGGATTGCAGGCATGAGTCACTGTGCATGGCCAAAATTTTTTTCAATATGAGAGCTGAAACAAGAAGGCAGAGTCTATGTCACCTTGTTTGCCTCAGCTGGGGACGTGCACAACCAGTGACTCAAAATTTTTACCACTCTGCGCGTGTCTAAATGACCATGAAAGTGCCATGAAAATTGATTTGGGGATTACAAATAGATTTTAGTGAGTAGACAAATTTGCAAATATAGATTCTGCAAATGATGAGGATCTACTATACCTAGACTTCACTCTTCTCCCTACTTATAATCTATTGGTACATCCCATTGACTGAACCCAAGCAGAGGTCAAAATAACCTGTCAATACCATCTTATAAAGGTCAACTTCCTGAGTACCAAACAGGGTAAGCAAGGGTGGACAATGGATCTGCAGGGGCTCTAGAAAATATTCAGCACATCATCCCACGTTATCTGTAGCCTTGAATGGGATCCCTAGGGATCTGCCCATTTTATAAGACATGAATTCACTCATTCTTTTGTTCATCAAGCGTTTACTAAGCACCTAGCAATAAGCTATGTTCTGTGAGGTGTCTAGTAGAGGCTTGAAAATATTAGAAGATGTTGACCCCATTATCTAAGGGCTCACCATCCACAAAGAAGAGCTGATGATAGTCAACTGACACATATTTGAGCACCTCCTATATTCCAGACTTTTTTAGGTGCTCAGGATATGGCAGGTCCCAAGACAAATCTTTGCCCTGGCATAACTTACAGACCAGAGCGGAAGAAAGGCAAGTGGTTGAAAGACCTCACTGAAGGAGGGTTAGTGCTCTTATAGGAGCATTCACTCATCAGGGGAACAAGTAGGGCAGTGAGGGTGGCCACAGAATAGTAGGCAAGAGCTTTCTGGAGGCAAGAAAGAGTATGGATTGAAGGGCTCTGAGTCAATGCCTGGAACCCAGATTGGGGAAGTAAAAATGATGAGAGATGAAGGCATGTCTTTGCAAAAATATGATTATATTACTAGTCCCAGTGCTGAGAAGTGCCAAAGAGAGGGACAGGTTAAAGCACTGCATGAGACAAAACATTCCAGAACTCCTGGCTCACTGTAATAACTTCCTCAAAGACAGGGGTTCCTATCATCCCTCCCCAGCCTCTGTGCTGCACACGGTGCCCTGCACACCTCCACTCAGTGGCATGCATTCTTCTAGCCCATAGCTGCCCTTAATTGCCCAGGGAGGCCCACCTCCTCAGGAGCACAAGAGTCAGAGTGGTAAAGAGAAGTTCTCCAGAGAGAGACTCAAAAGCTTAAAGAAGGTAAAATTGTGGGGCAAGTGGGATCCTGGGGTACTGCTCAAATCACATCATGCATGGCTCTCTTTTCCCTCATGGTGGTTCTGAGGTCAGGGAAATGTTCAACAACAATACACACACTCTCCCAGTTCAACATCAAGTAGTCATGCTCCATAGAAGTTGGAAGAATGGATGGATGATGGATGGATGGGAACATAGCAAAACCTAATTCTCTATACTGTGTGGGACCAGGCAGGCTTCAAGCAGTGGTTCCTTTCCCTCACTGAGGCTGGGAGTTCACCAAGTCCCTATATGCCTGGCTCTGCACTAGTCCCTCTTGCAGACATGAACTCATTTCATACTTCCAATTACCTTGAGAGGTGACTATTGTACACTCCATGTAATGCATGGTAGCTTAGTAACCTATTCCAAACATCATGGTTAGCAAGAGGTGAATTTATACTTGACTCTAATGCCTCTGACTCCAAGTCACGTCCACTCTCTGTGTTCCTTTTCCATTTGCTTCCTCTTTTCTTTTCCTTTTTCTAATTATTTAGCAGGAAGTCCTTTTGAAATGGGATCTTCTCTGTTCTAAACAGGACTGAATGGAATACTCTCCTTGGCAAAGACACTTTAATTTCTGTGAATTATGGGAGCTCTTGCTACTCTCTCGGGAGTGTCTTGTTCTTTTAACCTTTCAAAGCACTTCCCTACCCCTCATAACATTTAAACCTCCCAAGAACCATATAGGATAATTAGGTGAAGTTATGATTCGTAGTTTCAGATAAGTAAACACAGGCTCTGAGGAATTTAATAACTAATCTGAAAGTCATGCTGTCTTACCTTGAGACAAAACAAGAAAGACTCTCCAGACTTCCAGTCTCTTCCTCCTGGCCTAGAAATGGCAAGTGGGCAACATCTTTTGCTGAGAGAAGTTCCGAGGCGAAGTTCAGGGAATGAGAAAGACCCGTGATCCGTTGACAATGCCTGTCATGGGTGAGAAAAAGGAAAATGGAGGCACATGTGCTTGGTATTTGCTATCCCAACTTACCCATAACTATTTCAAAGCCTTAAGTTGTTTCTCACCTTAATGAGGAATTATGTTAATTCTCTTACAAGTAAGGCCTGGAACATAGTTGATGCTTACTACAGAGATGTACTATAATTTACTGAGTGACTGCTATTCATCAGGCACTGTGCCAGGTTACATGGCTACATTCAAGTTTATCATTACTAAGTATTCAGATTTACTAAATTTAAACACAGCCTTAGATATACTTTGAAAAAACCACACCCCTGTATTACACAGGTCTTAGTACCAGAATTTTTAATATCTTAACAAAGAATTCTTACATGCTAAATAAGCCTAACTTAAGTTTATTAAGGAAAGTATAGGTCAGGGCACAGTGGCTCATGTCTATAACCTTAGCACTTCGAGAGGCTAAGACTGGAAGATTTCTTGAGCCCAGTTTGAGATCAGCCTGGGCAATATAATGAGACCTATTTCTACAAAAAAAAAAAATATTTTTTAATTAGCCAGGTGTGGTAGTGCATGCCCGTAGTCCCAGCTACTTGGGAGGCTGAGTCAGGAGGATTGCTTGAGCCCAGGAAGCAGAGGTTGCAATAAGCTGTAATTATTGTGTCACTGTCTGTAGCCAGAGTCTGTCTCCAGAAAAAAAAAAAAAAAAAAAAGGAAGGAAGGAAGCATTTATATTTATATCTGGGATAAAAGCACTGTCAGTATTTTAGGGATGAAGTTTACTGCCAGCAGGCACAGTGAGGGCAGGAGCTCTGTTCCATTCATCTTCATGTCTCCAGTGTCTGGCCAGATGTACATTAATATAAAAATGGATGGATAAGTGAATAAATGAATGAAGCTCAGAGCCATTTGCTGATAACGCAACCAGTGACATACTATATGTCCTCTCTCTAGTGGTCATGAAAGTTGCAAGGACAATTTTATCAACTTTGGTCCACAATTTTTTTTGTAGAGATGGGGGTCTCACTCTGTCGCCCAGGCTGGTCTCGAACTCCTGGCCTCAAGCAATCCTCCTGCCTCAATATCCCAAAGTGCTGGGATTACAGGCATAAGCAACCGTATCTGGCCTCATTAAAAAAAAAAATTGTAGAGACAGGGTCTCCCTATGTTACCCAGGCTGGTCTCAAACCCCTGGTCTCAAGTATCTTCCTGCCTCAGGCTCCTAATAATCATGATAATGGATTATTATGATGGTGGGTTCCCTATAAAAGGGTCAGTTCACTGCCCCACCTCCACCCTCTCTCTCCTTCTGTTATGTGATGATGTAGCAAGAAGGCCCTCACAAGATACCAGCACCTTGATATTGGAGTTCCAGCCTCCAGTACTATGAGCCCATAAATTTCTGTTCTTTGTAATTTCCCAGTCTGTGGTATTCTGTTATAGCCACACAAAATGGACTGAGACAGGGACCTAGTAAGAAGCTATGCTCTCTGTCAAAATGTTTCTGCATTTCTGAGAGGCAGTGAACCCACAATGGCTTAGCATGCATGTGTGTGTGTGTAAAAGCTAAGAAAAAGTAAAGTACTGGAGAGGGAAAAAATGTCAGTTAATAACTCAAAGTATTATTCCAGGATGTCATCATTGGTGTTAGGCTGTGCTGAATTTGAGTTTAAAAAAAGTAATATTTAGTGAAATATATTCTACACTCTTTCTATTCAAGGTACAGGGTTGAGTTTTCAAAATCATACTTGCTGGTTTTTTTGTTTTGTTTTGTTTTTTACTATTTTATTGAGGTATTCAGTACCACCTTTAACAAGGAGAAAGCAGGAGCCATGTGTGTCAATCTTAATTAAAGACCTATTTGTCTTCTTTTAGAGATGGCACTAACAGCAGATTCCTTTCTCATTAAGAAGTGGACAGTTAACTGGAGACGCAGATCTACAAGACAGGGCTTCTGGAGACCTGGCAAGAGAAGGAGATGGAAAGTATAAGCCAGTGAGGGACCCTAGGGCTACACTCTCTTCCCAGTGCAGGCAGAGCTCTAGTGTTGACCCCAGAGAAGGGAGGAAGGGTTTTTTTTTGGTCTGCCCAGAAAAAGAATAGTCCAAGGTCAAAGGATCTCAGCAAGTGCAACACCACCACCAGGGGAGGGGGACTGCTCATTCTGTTTCTCCAGACCACCTGGGGAGGTGGCTCCAGGCCCCTCTCTTTTCATGGGACCAGTTGAGTGTAGTCCTTCCTGTTACCAAAAGTGGTCAGATAATCAGGGGCTGTCCCTCTAGACACAATCCAGCCACTAGTCCTTTAAAAGTTAGAGTTTTTTAAAAATCACATTTTGTTTTTTTTTTTTAAGTATATATGTATGTATGTATGTATGTATGTATTTGTTGAGACAGGGTCTCCTTCTGTCACCCCAGCTGAAGTACAGTGGCACAATCATGGCTCACTGTATCCTCTACCTCCTGGGCCCAAGTGATCCTCCCACCTCAGCCTCCCAAGTAGCTGGGACCACACGTGTGTGCCACCATGCTTGGTTAATTTTTAAATTATTTTTGTAGAGATGGGATCCTCCTATGTTGTCCAGGCTGATCTTGAACTCCTGGCCTCAGGTGATCCTCCTGCCTTAGCCTCTCAAAGTCCTGGGATTACAGACATGAGCCACCATGCCTGGCCTACTTATTTATTTATTTTAGAGATAGGGTCTCACTCTGTCATCCACACTGGAGTGCAGTGGTGCAATCATAGCTTATTGCAGCCTCAAACTCCTGGATTCAAGAGATCCTCTCACCTCAGCCTCCCAAGTGGCTAGGACTACAAGTGTGTGCCACCATGCCCAGATAATTTTTTAATTTTTTGTACTTTTTATTTTTTGTAGAGATGGAGTCTCTGTGTTGCCATGGCTGGTCTTAAAGCCCTGGCCTCAGGCTATTCTTTTGCCTAAGCCTCTTAACATGCTGGGATTACAGGCATGAGCCACTGTGTCAGGCTAAAAATCACATTTCTTCATTTATACATAACATTCGGTGCCTAAACCGAAACTCTTCTATTATCATCAAGGGTCATCCTTGATTATCCAGCTTAATCCTTAAGGCCCACAACTGATCACCAAGGTGGGTTCTCATTCCAAAGGAGTGTCTACTTGTTGGGGCCATGGGTTGGTTCTCAGGTCCTATAAATGGACTTGTCCCAGGGGCCCCAACCAAGACTGTGTGACAATCCAATAAAATACAATAAGAAAGCCAGAATCGGCTGGGCGCAGTGGCTCATAAATATTTACCTCATAAATATTTATTATATGGTGTCAATAAATATTTACCTATATCATTTTTAGTGACTGAATAATAGTTCAGTAGAATATATCTACTATACTTTATTTGAAATATTTTATTAGGTATTTAGATCATTTCCAATTTTTTACTTCTATAAACATCACCATAGTGGACATCCTTGTAAAATACATTTCTGTTGTCTATGCCCATTTTAAATAAGCTTTTGATAGATATTGCCAAACTGCCCTCCAGAATTGTACATTTTCACTAGTCGTGAAGCAGCATGTCAATTTGACTATTGGAAATTGGTAGCTGAATGTGGTTTTAATTTACATTTCATTGATCAATGAAGTTGAACATTTTCCTCATAGACTTGTTGCTTGAGGCCATTTTCAAAAGGAAATAGGATCGCTGGGTGAGCAGTGTTCTGTTCCTCTAGTCTCCCTATCAGTGCAAGCCACTGTTTACTCAGTAAGCGAAAGGGCCAACCTAGAGAAACATTATAAAGCAGGCAAGACTCCTCACTAAGAACCCATCCTCCCAGATGAGATTCCAGTATCCCCCCTCACCCTGCAAAACCCACTGTCAAGGAAGAACTGAAAACTCATTTATACTAGACTAGAAGTAATTAATAGCACTTTTGCTGAGCTATCCTTCCCAGGGTGTGGGGAGGGCGGGCAGGTATTTAACCCTTCTAAAAGCCTCAAGTGAAGGGAACAAAGCTGTCAAAATTACAGGCTTTCCTCAGGGGGTGGCAGAGATGTTTGGGGCAGGTGGAAGAAGCCAGTTTTTCCAGATCTGTAAGAATTCTAGCACCCTCCTTACCAGGATGCAGGCAGGCCTCCGAGAAGAAGAGGTTGATCACTGGACAGAAGGCTTGTGTTTCAGCATTAACCCCTGTACTCCCTGAGGCTCCATTCTGAACTTTAGTTAGGAGGTGCCTTGCAGAGTTCTTTACAACTATTGGTGCCTAATGTGTGTGGATGGTGAGTTCCAGTGTGGTGGCATGATATTAAAATATATGAACTAACACCTTTTCTGCAAGATATCAGGCTGCTTCAGATATAACATGAGATCCTAACTTGTGACTCAATATTTCTTTGGAGAGTTGTTTCATGGAAAAAAAATTACTGAAGGAAAAAAGCCTGTGTTTATGAAGATGTTTGTTGTAACACAAATGGGGTAGTAAATTATGGTACAATTGCTAGATTAAAAATTACACAATCATTAAAATTAATCATCAGGACATAGGAAAATGTTCCTTTATATAAAAGTAAATGAAAAAATTACATCTATACATATGTATAAAAAATTATGCCCAATCATACTTTAAAATTTATATGTAGGCCAGGCGCAGTGGCTAACGCCTGTAATCCCAGCACTTTGGGAGGCTGAGGTGGGTGGATCACGAGGTCAGGAGATCAAGACCACCTGGCTAACATGGTGAAACCCCATCTCTACTAAAAATACAAAAAAATTAGCTGGGTGTGGTGGTGGGCACCTGTAGTCCCAGCTACTTGGGAGGCTGAGGCAGGGGAATGGTGCGAGCCCAGGAGGCAGAGCTTGCAGTGAGCCGAGATCACGCCACTGTGCTCCCACCTGGGTGACAGAGCAAGACTCCATCTCAAAAAAAAAATAAAAATAAAAAATAAATTTGTATGCAGGCCAGTGCAGTGGCTCATGCCTGTAATCCCAACATTTTGGGAGGCTGAGGCAAGCGGATCACCTGAGGTCAGGAGTTTGAGACCAGCCTGACCAACATGGTAAAACCTGGTCTCTACTAAAATACAAAAATTAGCTGGGTGTGGTGGCACACGCCTGTAATACCAGCTACTCGGGAGGCTGAGGCATGAGAATCGCTTGAACCTGGGAGGAGGAGGTTGCAGTGAGCCGAGATCGTGCCATTGCACTCCAGCCTGGGCGACAGAGTGAGGTTCTGTCTCAAAAAAAAAAAAAAAAAGATAATATAAATAAATAAACAAATAAATAAAAATATATAAAATGAGTTCAGAAGAAAATACAGCTAAAAGCAGGATTTATATCTGGGTTCTGACATTAACAGTAATTTAAATTTTCTTCCTCATTCTTTTTGCATTTTCCAAGTTTTTGGCAGTAAGTATGTGTTACTTTTAAAAATAATTTTTTAATCAAATAATTGTGAACACTTATCATTATGTGATTGTCGTACGGTAGAATATAAATGAATAAAAGCAGATTTTAAACACGTAGGTGTGCTATTACACATATTACACTTCTGTTTTGGGGGGTAAATTGCAGATGAGCCTCTCTCTTACACCAGTTTCCATTGGTGTTGGGATTATATTGTTTATAGAACTATTACCAGTTACCTCTGTGATTTCTAGATCGAACAGGATATATTGTTTGGATAATATTTCTTCTGTTTCGGGGATCAGAACCAATATTACCAAACAATATATCCAAACAATAGGATCCAACCATAGTGGGGAGAGGATAAGTAGGCAGAGGATTGTTGGATCCTTTTGTTTGGATTTATACAAACAGAGCTGCTCCTCCACGCAGCCTGGGGGCTGTGTGAGAATGCTATTAATATGCAGATTATGACAAACAGTCCAGAATTGGTAGCTCACTTGATGCTTTTGAAATCACTTGTACACAGATTATCTCACCTCTCTCTCAACCATTCCAAAAGACTGATTTAGGTCAAGGACAGATGAACTTGTAATTTCACAGAACTGGAGGCATGGGAAACTAAGGAAACCTGTAATCAAATTTGAACAGAAGGTCTTCAAACCCAAAGTACTTGATTTGAATTAATAGTGTTATAAAAGTTTTTTCAAAAATCTGAGTGGCAATGAGAGGGTCAGATGATGACCCAGCTGTGGGAAGAGAGGGTGGGGATGGGCCGAGAGCAAGGTGTGTATATTAGTGCTGTGCTTCCTGTTCCTTTTCTAGTCGTGAGCCCTCAGGCAAGTTACGCGAGCTCCCTGAGCCTCATTGGCCTCATCTGTAAAATGGGACTGGTAATAAGAATGGGTTGTTTGAGGCCAGGTGCAGTGGCTCATGCCTATAATCCCAGCACTTTGGGAGGCTGAGGCAGGAGGATTGCTTGAACCCAGGAGTTTGAGCAACATGGTGAGACCCCATCCCTCACCATGAAAATCTAAAATTTAAAAATTACAAGAAAATTTAAAAATTACCTGAGCATGGTGGTGCACACCTATAGTCCCAGCTACTTGGCAGGCTGACACAGGAGGACCACTTGAGCCCAGGAGGTCAAGGCTGCAATGGGCCATGATTACACACCACTGCACTCCAGCCTGGGCAACAGAGCAAGACTCTGTCTTGGAAAAATGGGGGTAGGGGGGTGTTGTTTGAAAACCAAATGAGTTAATTTGTATGTATAACATGTGCAGAGCATGCTCATTAAGTGATAAGTATTGTATTTCTTATTTTCTGAAAAACCAGGAAAACAGTACTTTCTTACTTTTTTGTCAGAAGATGGGGCCAAGAGGGTGGGGAAGCCCACAGCCATTGTCTTGTCTTAATAGGTCTAGGAGGCAGTGGGAGGGCCTCTGCCATCCTTGCATGCTTGAGAAGAAGGAGAATTATACAGCAGTGACCCCAAAGGTCAACCTTGAGCAGCTGGAGGATAAGGGAGGCGGGCATCACTCACTTTGCAGTTTTGCCAGTGTGTCACTGTGGCTGACTGACCACCTCTGGCCAAGTTTGAAATAAAGACAGGTGAGCTGAAATTCACATCACTGAGAGGCAGTGGAGCAGAGTGGTTCATGGTCTAGATTTAAAAGCCAGTTCAGCTGGGTTACAATCCCTGTCTCTCCACATCCCGGCTGTGTGCATCTGGCCATGTTACTGAGTCCCCCTTTGCCTCAGTTTCCTCATCTGATGAAAAAGGAATGATGATGATGATGATGATAACAGTACCTACCTCTCAGTGTTGTTTTGAAGATTAAATGAGTCCATCTGTATAAAGTGTTTAGAACTGCATCTGGCATGTGGCAGGGGTTTGCTCTTATTATTAGGCACACTCCATGGAATGAATAGGAGAGACAATTTAGGTCAGAAAAGATGTCTGAGATTTTGTTTCCCTGGATCACAGTTTACACTGGTAGACAGGTGGCAGAGAGCTTCAGAAAGGCTTGTTCAAGTTCGGATAGTCAGACGGCAGGAGGGAGGCCGAGAACCTTGGCTCCTCAACCCTTGGTCTCTGTGCTCCCTGTGTAGCCACACTTGTGAATCCAGGCAAAGGTGTGTCATGAATATGAGACATCATCAGCTCTCTCATTGCTATGTCACCTCTGTGGGACCCCAGGAATCTACAGGCTCCCCACCTTAGCTGGAGTAAAAGCTGGAATAAAGCAGATAACAGGGTCGGCAGAGTGACCCAAGTCATTTGGGACTGCAGACAAGTTCATGGGAAAGGAAAGTTACTTGTTTGGTACCAAAAGCCACCCGCCAGCTAAAGAAACAACCCTGCCTTGGGGGTTGGAATGGCAGCTCCCACTGAGCCAACTGGCCCAGCATTCCGGGGATTCAGAAAACCAAGAGCATGTACTCTGGAGGAAATATCATGGCAGAAAACAGGTCCTCATGGTTACTGCTGGTCACGTGACCCTCTGGTAAAGGCTGAGCGCAAACAGCAGAGAAGGAAATCTGAATTTTCTGTAGGAAGATGTGTTCTAATAAGGTTCTGATCTTTTCAATATCATTCATTACTTAATATAAAATATTATGCCAAAACATAATACCAAATAAATACCAAAGTAAACCATGCTAATCAAAAACAATTAGAAAATACAGAAAACATAATGAAGAAAGTAGAATTATCATTTTTTGTGTGGTTCTTTTTGGCTGTTTATGTACATATAACTTGATATAATTTAGGTTATAAAGTACATTAAATTGTATATTCTGAATTTGGTATATTATTTCTTTTGTTTATTATTTATTCTTGAGACAGGGTCTCACTCTGACACCAAGGCTGGAGTGCAGTGGTACGATCACGGCTCACTGCCTTGACCTCCTGGGCTGGAGCAATCCTCCCACCTCAGCCTCCTGAGTCACAGAGATAACAGGTGTGTGCCATCATGCTCGGCTAATTTTTGAAATTTTTTGTAGAGCTAGGATCTCATTATCTTGCCCAGGCTGATCTTGAACTCCTGGGGGCAAGCACTCCTCCTGCCTTGGCCTCCCAAAGTGCTGGAATTACAAGGGTGAGCCACTGTTCCTGGCCTGCTTTTGGTATATTATATCATAAGCATTTTTCATGTCATTAAATATTCCTTAAAAATATCATTTTTAATAGCTGCAAAGCATTCTGTTGGATGGATGGACCATAATTCTTTGAACTATTGTTAGGTTATTTTCAATTTTTTTACAGCTACAGGAATGCAGCCCTAGATCACTGTACTTTAATATGTGTGCACACCTCTGATTATGTCCTGAGGTTAAAATCCTGACATAGACTGGCTACTGAGGTTTTGCTTCTACCCTTAGGAAGGACTCAAAGCTCCCCTTTCAGGGCCCCTTGGGAATGAGGAAGAAAAGGGGTGAAGACAGTGGTTCAGATGCAAAATCATTCTCAGGACATGGTGGTAAAAGGTTAGGGTGTCAGTGATGGTAGGTTAGAAATGCTAGTGTCCACATGGGGGCCTCTCTCTCTAGTTTCCCACTTTTGGGGATCTGGTCTCTAGTCTCCTGACTTGCCATCTTAGAAACCTGTCTCAAATGACTTTAGCAAAAGGGAGAGTCAATTGCAAGAATGCTGAAATATCTTCTGTAATCAAAAGAAGGGCATTTGACCAAACCATGAGAAGGGCAGGGATACAGCTGGCCCTGGACCAACCAAATAACCCCCTAGGAGGGCAGGTTCTCGAAGAATATGAAAATTCTACTTTGACCTCAAGGAGTTGGGGCAGGACAGTGCTCTCAGAAAAAGGAGATACTAGTTCCTGGAGAAAGGGAAGGCTCATGGCCTTTGGGCATTGTTTTCTAAGAAGCTGAGGTGGCAAGATGGACCTGGGGCTGCTGCCTCCCACTAGGGGGACTACCTGCCCATGCAGTGGAAAAGTCTAGGTGTGGGAGCCTTTGTTCTGGTTTTGCTCGAGGCCTTAGGGAGGAACATTCTTTTCTTTTAGGTTGTCTCACTGTTTCTTCCTGCTTTCAGGTTGGTGAGTCCTCTAGGACAAAGAGATTCAAGTATGGATCTTGGGGACAAGAGTGAAGGCAGCCAGTAGAGGGTCTAAGTCTCCACTCAAAGGTATACAATTAGCACTGTGGGCTTCCATAAGGTGCAGCCCAGCTCAACAACCTGAAGCTTTCACACAGAGATGTGGGGCCAAAATGAGTCAATAACAAATGCTGTGCTTTTGCCTAGAGTGTCCCTAGTGTATATCTTCCTCCTGTACCTGTGGTAGAAGAAGGCTGGGAGTCCTAGCCAAATATCTGTCCAGCTCTTCATCACTATCCAGAAGGGAAGAACATGTTTAGGGCTTTTGAGACACATTGCCAAATTGCTCTGTTAAAAATGGAATATTTTGGTATCAAGCGAGAAGTCCAAACCAGGGGGCTCCTGCCAGTCCTGGGCACGTCATCCTCTCAATCAGCTCTAAGTAGCATGCCAGCATTCTGCACAGGATAGAGTTCTCCTTAGAATTGGTTGATCAGACATGACAGTCACAATCATACCAATGTTATTTGACAAAATATCGTATTGCTTTCTTCAATATAATGTTCTTATATCATTTTAAAAAACAGTTCCTGCTTTTTTTTTAAGTAAAAAAAGTTGCTAGGGGAATGGAGTACTTTCAAATGGTGTCGAATTCAGAAGAGCTTCATTGGGACACTGTTTTGCTGTGCTTTTTGTTGCCACTGAAGTTTCCTTCTCGAGCACAGGCATTAGCATTCTGGTTGTAGGCTTTCTGCTTTCTCAGGGGTTGGTATTTTTTTGAAGACTGGCCAAACATGGATGAACACCTCATTGCAAGGACTGCCTACCATGACCTCTCTAAGCAGCAACATGCTGTGATTCGCAGTGAGCCAGGAGGGCATGTGACAAGCTCACACCAGTAGCCACAGACTGGTATTAGCTGAAACATCAAACCCTGTGTGGTTGTTGTATAGTTGCATGATTGAATCAAAGAATGTTAGAGCTGGAAGGACCCTTGGAGACCATAGACTTCAATCCTTTCCACTAGACCTACCCACCTTACAAATAAAGGAACTGAGACCCAGGGAGAGGAAAAGGCTTGTCCATGGTTACACAAGCAGAATAATCAGAATCAAGAATAAGGTGAGGCCAGGCGTGATGGCTCACGCCTGTAATCCCAGCACTTTGGGAGGCTGAGGCAAGTGGATCATCTGAGTTCAGGAGTTTGAGACCAGCCGGTCAACATGGTGAAACCCCATCTCTACTAAAAATACAAAAATCAGCTGGGCATGTTGGTGGGTACCTGGAATCTCAGCTACCCGGGAGGCTGAGGCAGGAGAATCGCTTGAACCCAGGAGGCAGAGGTTGCAGTGAGCCAAGATCGTTCCATTGCACTCCAGCCTAGGCAACAGAGCGAAACTATGTCTAAAAAAAAAAAAAGAATAGGCCAGGTGTGGTGGCTGAGGCAGGAGAATTGCTTGAAACCAGGAGGCAGAGGTTGCAGTAAGCCGAGATCGTGCCACTGCACTCCAACCTGGGTGATAAGAGCGAGACTCTGTCTCAAAAAAAAAGAATTAGGTGAAATTTTTACAGTGTTAAAAAATAAGAACCATCAGCCTAGGATCCTGTACCGAGTGAAATTATCCTTCCAAAGAGGAGAGGCTTTCAGTTTTCAGTCTGGCAGGTAAGGGGCATGGAAGTCATCACTTCATCCTGGCAACAAGTAAAAAGCTAAACAAACTGAAAAACTAACTCGTCCTAGATCTGTCAAGGAAGTGAGGTCACAGGACAAACTACTGCCCCCCAAATTAGAGACAGCCAGGCAGATAATGAGAATCCAAACTTATTGGAGCAGAAACCCACAAGCAGAAACCTCTGAGAGCCAGTGTCACTGCAGGAAAAACCTGCTCTATGATTAACGAACGAATGGCTAGAGGCTTGGTAATGACAAGTCTGACAGTTAAGAGCCCCAGGGACCCAGTTACAGGTAAAACACTTTTGTGAGTTTACCTTTTGGAGCTCTACCAGGTTCTCAGAGTGACGATTGAGGGAAAATCCCTTTATGTTCCTGGAGGAGGAAGGGAAAAGGAACCATTTTGAAATATACCAGAGCATTTTGGTCCCACTTAACAAGGCCTACCCCAAGAGAAACTATTATACCAGGATCTGCCCTATTGGGGTTTAATTAGAGCTGACCCAGGGAAGGAAATATCCAACTCCAGCCTCTTTTCTCATTCTGTCTCATGTCAAGGGGTGGAAGGGAAATGAGGAGCCCTTATAAAGTTCTCAGCCCTGATGCACAGGCTCCCTAAAAGACTGTGACCCAATCATAGAACTATAGAATGCTACCCCCACACCTCACACCACACCACTAAAGGTCTGTCTACCTAGTGCATCATGCTTGCCTTTCAATAAAAAATTACAAGGCAAATTACAAGGCAAAAAGTTACAAGGCAAAAAACCCTGTTCAAAGGGACAGGGCAAGCATCAAAACCAGACTCAGATATGGCAAAAATGTTGAAATGATCAGACAACATTATTCCACTAGGAACATTATCAGGCCAGGAATTTAGAACATTGTGAGGTCAGGAATTTAAAACAACTATGACGAATATGCTAAGAGTTCAAATGGAATAAGTAAACAACATGTAAGAGCAGATGAGTGCTGTAAGAAGAGAGATGGAAAATCTAAGAAAGAATAAAAAAATCAATGCTAGAGCTCAAAAACACTGCAACAGAAATGAAGAATGCCTTTGATAGGCTGGGCATGGCTGAAGAAAGAATCTCTGAGCTTGAGGATTATGTCCATAGAAGCTCCTAAAACTGAAAAGCAAAAAGAAAAAGGAAAGAAGAAACAAAACAAAAATAAAAACCCAGGACAGAATCGTGGGACAACTACAAAACATATAATATACATTTAATGGGAATACCAGAAGAAAAGGAAAGGAAGAAAGGAATAGAAGAAATATTTAAAACAGTAATAACTGAGGCCAGGCATGGTGGCTCACACCTGTAATCCCAGTGCTTTAGGAGGCTGAGGTGGGTAGATCACTTCAGGTCAGGAGTTCAAGACCAGCCTGGCCAGCATGGCATTTCCTCATTCAGTCTATTCCTGTGAGATCCTACCCTTTTGGTCCAATCACATTTCTACATGGTGGCCAATCATGCCTTTCCAAGCTCTACTAAACATACAAAAACAATTAGCTGGGCATGGTGACACACGCCTGCAATCCCAGCCACTTGGGTGGCTGAGGCACGAGAGAGAATTGCTTGAACTTCGGAGGCGGAGGTTGCAATGAGCCGAGATCACGCCATTGCACTCCAGCCTGGGCAACAGAGAAAAACCCTGTCTAGAAAAACAAAACAAAAACAAAAACAAACAAACAAAAGATAATAACTGATAATTTCCCTCAAACTAATATCAGACACCAAGCCACAGATCCAGGAAGCTCAGAGAACATCAAGCAAGATAAATGCCAAGAAACTCCCACATTTAGCATAAAATATT